TCAGAATACTCCTTCCTCTGGTCCCCTCCAAGATGGTGCAGAAACTTGAAAGTGGAAGGGGGAAAACAGTGAGGTTCTGAGCCAAAATGGTATATATTTCCCCTGTGTCTTTTATGGAGTAGACGATCTGGCTTGGTCCCTGGACTAATAATCCATCTCAAGTGGCCTTTGGGGGCATTTTTCCTTTTGGAGCCCTCTCAGCACCACCTCGGGAGCATCATAAATTTCTGGGCTCAGTGCTCACCACCAGCAGGCTGTGAAGTAGAAGGAGAAGAAGCACAACAATAGACTGGCCTCACTAGCAGCCCCTTCTGTCCGGGTGCTGTTTCCCAGACCTGGATTCACTGCCTTGGTGTGTAGCTCTTCCAAGAGTCTTAAGAGGTTCCTCAGGCTATGCTCGGGAAAGAATAGAAAGAATACTCCCTAGCTCAAATTTCATCCAGATCTATCTAGAAATTTCCACCTTGCCTCCTCTGCCCTTGAGGTTTACTCCAGGAGGGGGAATATAAGGTCAGGGACTCTGAGCTCTTTGTTTTACCTCAGTCTTTCTGGTCTTCTCTAGTTCCCTTTCTGTGTGACACCTAGGTAGTTTCTCTCTACTCTGGCTGCAGGGGAGAGTAAGCACAGAATGTTCTTTTCACTTTTTCCACCTGACATCTCATTTACTTCTCCTAATTTCCTGAGGCAGGAAAACATAGTGGGTGCAGTAATGAGACTTGTTTTTTCCCCAGACAAATGTACATTCCTTGTGAAGTACTTAGAAATCAACAGCAATTCCGTTGGCATATATCGTCTTTGGAGGTTGGATAAAGCCCTGTGCAGAGAAGGTGCTAAGTAAAAGCTAATTTGGGGATCAGAAGGGAAGGGAGGGGTGGCGAGCTTGTACAACATCGAAGCCATCTCTAAGGTTGGCAAATTTCTCTTCTTCAAAAATACAAACTCTTGGCAATTCTTGCTTTAAAAAATGTTTTCAAAAGAGCACACACATCTTTATCTCTCACTACTCCTTATAATTCTCCAGTATGGTCTGAGGATCAAAACCCAGGAATCTGATTCTTACCCACATACATTAGCAGGATTTTTCAATTCACACAAACCAAGAGAAAAATATGACACACACACACACAACATCTGCTGACTCCTAATTTTAATTGCTTACTTGCTGTCACTTAGGCTTCATGGGATTTTAAAAAAAATATTATTTATTGAATCACCTTGAGTTATAGAGTTAAAAAGATATTTATAATTGATTTTCAGTTGTACCATGTTCCAACACCCGTTCCTTCACCCAAGGCACCTGCCTGGGCAGGCCAACCTCTATGGCAGTTTTCTTCTTTTCTTCTTTGTCTTCTTTGTCTTCTTTGTCTTCTTCTTCTTCTTTGTCTTCTTCTTCTTCTTCTTCTTCTTCTTCTTCTTCTTCTTCTTCTTCTTCTTCTTCTTCTTCTTCTTCTTCTTCTTCTCCTCCTCCTCCTCCTCCTCCTCCTCCTCCTCCTTCTTCTTCTTCTTCTTCTTCTTCCTCTCTCTTTCTCTCACTTGTATTTTAGGTATTGTGGTTTACAATAGTGTTACTGAAAGGGTATCCTACATATCATTTTACCTCTTTTCAGCATTCAGTCCAGAGTCATCATTTGCAACTATCGTTGTCATAGTGGTGCATTCTCTGTCCTAACTGCATTCCTCCTCAGATTTTAAAGTGTGTGTGTGTGTATATGTTAACTATCTTTGTTTTTTTTCCCTTGCCTCAACCTCTTTCCTTTCTCTACATAAAGAGCTATTCTGAATAATTTGATGGGTATAATTACAGTCCATGGTTTACTAGTTTATTACACGCCTATATATCAATGCATATCAGGTACTAGGAAGTACTGCTTTATGTGTTTAAATACCCCCCAAGTGACATCATATTTCATGCATGCTTTAACACCACATTTTAGTCAGTAATATATTTTTAAAATTTATTCCTTTTATGTGTATAAAACTCCTTCAACTGCCTTTGATCCTTCACTTGGTAAATTGATCACATATTCCTTATTATATCCTCAAAGATACTGTGATTTTAAAGTCTTTTCTCCCGCATCTTTTATTTCACTAATAAATACTTTCACCATACATACTTTAACTTCTGGCTAAAATTATCCTGAAGAACTAAGAGAGGAAAATCAGAGTTGGTGTATATGTTCTACACTTAGGAGCCTTGAATTCTGGTGTGCAGTGGACCCCTGTGCATCACTAATAGCTATTCTTTAACCCTTCACTGGGAGTAGCCGCAGACCACAGCTGGGTATGAGCCTTAAATAAAAACAAAAATTGGTCAGAAGACTTTTGTCTGGAAATCATTCCAGTTGTCCTTCAGACACTGAGATGCTTTCAGCCAGAAGATATCTGAAAACCTATATGCATTCCTCACAGTGACAGTTTGCATACCTCTGGGAATCACTTTGTTGCAGTTCTGGTCTCTGGAAAATGGGATAATGATTGTTCTTCTTTCCTTGAGAACTTGGATTCATGTGGCAAAGTCTATGTTAGGTGTCCAGTAAATAGTAAGTAATGGTACAGGACCCTGACACCTTGGCCAATTTTCCTTTAGAGACTTTCCCTTCCTACGTTGTTGTAGTTGGTTAGACTCTGTCACAAAGAGTTTATGGTTTTTGAGCACCCATGTCATATCTTTAGAGTCAGTAAGCAGAGGCAGTGAGCTACCATGGAAAATAAGTGTTGGATGTATTACCCTGAATGCTATCAGGATTCACAACTGCTATTAGTTCATAGCTGCTCTCCAGATGGCTCAAAACAAGTCTTTGCAGGGCCTGCTTGGGCCTGCTCAGTTCAGCTGCTTGCGGAAGCTCTGCTCAGAGCCTTGCTATGGGCTTATTCTTGGTGTAGCTTGGGCCAATCAGAATTCTGTTGCTACACAGCCTGTGCAGGCAGAACTTTCCCTTCACTCTGATCTCTGCCAGCACCGCTCTCCACAGTTATTTCTGCTAGTTTTCTTTGGACTGATTTTTCAAAAGCACCTGATACGTACTTTTCTTCTTACTGTTCTCTTTTTCTTATTTCACTCAATCCTCACATGAGACCCTGACACCTACCCTCCCACACGTCTATAAAATAAGATTTTTAAAAATTGGGCACAAAGAGGATGAATTTGTGGAGGTTTGGAGTCAACCATGGAAAGAAAATAAAATGAATTCTTCCTTTTGACTTTGAAGAGTGCTTGAGGCTCCCTGTCATCCACATTCCAGATTCCTACCGTGACAATGGAGACTGACCAGAGAGCTATGAAGACTAGAACCAATAGTTCACAAAAGGTAAAGGTAAAGGCCCTCCCGTTGATCATCGATTTGCTCGAGCGGGCCCAGTAACGTCTCCATTGGAGACTTTGTTGTTACTATGTCTGGCATATCGAATACTCTCGGTAGCTTGCCGGGCTCTCCGAAAGGGGCGGAGGAATCGAACTCGGGTCGGCCATGTTGGCCGCTTGTAAGGCGAACGCCCTACCCGCTGTGCTATCGCTCCAAAAAACAAATGTATTTTGTGATTTTTTTTCCTCCCTTCATTTATATCTCCTCACACCTAGAATGAGTTATGCCTTCTGAGTTCAAAATGTGCATTTGTTTGTTCAGTCAAAACGTTATACATTGCTTGGGGCCGGAGCGATAGCACAGTGGGTAGGGTGTTTGCCTTCCACGCGGCGGATCTGAGTTTGATTTCCAGTATCCCATATGGTCCCCTGAGCACCACCAAGAGTAATTTCTGAGTGCAGAGCCAGGAGTAACCCCTGAGCATTGCCAGGTGTGACCCAAAAAGAAAAAAAAATGTTATATATTGCCATTTTCCTTTTCAGACAAAGAAAAGAAAAATATATAGTGCTTTATATTTTAAATTGTATTATAATGAAATTGTTTTCTTGTATTGAGAATAACCCTAATCACAGAAGATTCATCAATCAGAAATTTACACTGGAGGAGGCAGGCAATCAGAATTTTGCATTAGCTTGACTTTCTCTTAGTCAGTCCTTAGCCTGAAATTTGAAAAACAAAGTTCTTCCTTGTCCCAATATGACAGTGATAGTTTTAGTAGACACACACACACACACACACACACACACACACACACACACACACCACACCACACCACACATAGACACACACACACCAAACCAAACACAGGATCACTATCTAAAAAATCCTTAGTTCAAGACAGAAAAACTCTTAGTCCATATTTGTCGGTACTAGTAAGCACACTTTTTCTGATATTTGGAGACACTAATGAGTAGGTGAGATTAATGTCACATATTTAACTTCCTATCTTTTAAAATTTTTTTTTATTTGGTCTCCATGAGTTACAGAATTGCTTGCAATAAGGTTTGAGGCATACAATATTCCCACCTCCAATCCCACAGCCCTATAGCTCCATCAATAAATACAGTTCCCTCTCACTCCAAACCTGACTTCTTGATAGATATATCTTTAAGTTTTATTTTGGGGTCTAGTGTTTTATAAATACAGATATAGGTAGATAGATAGATAGATAGATAGATAGATAGATAGATAGATAGATTGATAGACAGCCTCTACAGCACAGATGAGGTCTAGGCCCTGGACCCTTACTTCCATACTTCCTCTTCTTGCTTTCCATTTCCATTTCTCTCCTTTGTCATTTTTGTTTCTGGAGGCAATCTTTGTGTCCACCTTTGGTACTTTCCATTTCCTAACATGTCATTTAATATTCCATGGATTAGTAATAATATCCAGTATTTGTTCTTGTCCTTCTGATTTACTCCACTTAACATGAGATACTCTAGCTCCATCCAAATTGCAAAAAGTTGCATGATTTCATCATTACTTATGGCTGCATAGCATTCCATTTTTTAGGGGGATATATATACCACAAGTTTATCTACTCTTTTGTGATTCTGGGTTCTTTTTGTATCCTTGCTATTAAACTGAACTTGTTATATATAATAATAACTTATAATTGCAATTGTTTTTTCTTTTTTTTAGGGGAGAGTGCAAATGCAGTTCCCCACTACCACAAATTACAGTCAAGTTTTCCACATTTGGGGATATCTCAGGAGTCAGCAAATGCAGTATGCAATGGATCAGCTTTGTCCTGGGAAAAACACCTCTGCGATCATGGTAACCTCCCTGCCAGGTAAGTATTCAGTACTTGCAATATTGTGAAACTTAGAGTAAGTTCCCATTTTTATGGAGTTGAATTTGTTAATTTTGCCATGGTGAGTGCTTTACATATCTTGAATGTTAATGCTTTATCGATTTATTGTGTGCAGATATTTTCTTTCACTCAGTGGAAATCTGTTAGTTTTCGTCTGTGTTTTTGGGTTTTTTTTTTTTTTGTTTTGCGCCATGCAAAAACATTTTAATTTGATGTAGTCTTATTTCTTTTTGTTTCTGTTGTTATTGTCAATGACATCATATCATTGAAACACTTTGATTTGGGGTCCAAATCCTGGAGCATTCTGCCTATATTTTCCTCATTGTATTTCACAGAGTCTAATCTAATCTTGAGGTCTTTGATCCGCTTTGAATTGGCTTTTGTGTGACTCCCTGATCTTTCTTCTCTGTTTCTAGGAGTAAAGAAATTGGCAGGAAGGCAATAGGAAGGTTTTGAACAGCTACCACCCATGATCCAGCCTCCAGTATGTTAATACCATACTGATTAACTCAGTCACAATGTGTGTTGTGTGTGTGTGCGTGTTTTATGTGTGATTGACATAAATCACTTGTCCTGTGGGGTCCTATAGTCTCTCTTCTTAGAAAAAACTATTTAGATGTTCTCTGTTCATTTGCCTGTCTGTGCTCTCTGCTAAGAGAAAACACAATAGCAAGGCCAGATCATGCTTGAGAAAGAAGGAAGTGCAGGGAATCAGGCTGATGGCAATACCAGGGGTCAGTAGGGTGACCCCAGTGACTTGAAACACCGAGATCTTGAATACAATAGTACATAACAAAGGGAAAGTTCTTATGTGGTAGGAAAATATAGGAGTCGGGATGTTTGGAATGTTCATAACCCATAACCCTAAAGAATAGGATCTTCATAACTTACCTTGGCCCATTTTATTGATATGATGAAGTGTTAGGAGTTAAGAGTAAATGGAGCCATAATGCAGTGTAGGGAGCTTGCCTTAGATGCGCCTACCCTAGTTTGATACCCAGCACCCCATAGGGTCCTCTGAACCCTGCCAGGAGTGGTACCTAAGCACAGAGACAGGAATAAGCCCTCAGCATTGCTGGGTGCAGCCAAAAACAAAAAAAGAGTTTAGAGTAAGTGTGCAAAGATTGGAAAACCTGGTTGGTCTTGGTGCTTTGGCCTCAGTATTGGTATGTTACAACTTTTAAAGCATTACATTGAGTTACACTGATACCTCCTTAAATTTTTTGGTATTTTTAAACAATTTTTGGTGGGGGAGGCCACATCCAATAGGGGTCAGGGTTTACTCCTGACTGTACTCAGGAATCACTCCTGGTGGGTTTGGCAGACCATGCGGGATTCAGGGGATTGAACCTGGCTTGGCCAAGTGCATGCCAAACAGTCAACACACTGTATTATCTTTCCAAATTATTGTCCTTATTCTGGGTAAATTTTATTAATAAGAAAATATAATGGGGCCAGAGTGATAGTACAGTGGGTAGGGCATTTGCCTTGCATGTGGCCGACCCAGATTCAATTCCTGGCACCCCATATGGTCCCCTGAGCATTGCCAAGAGTGATTCCTGAGTGCAGAGCTAGGAGTAACTTCTTAGCATCTCTGAAGTATAGCCCAAAAAGCAAAAAAAAAAAAAAAAAAAAAAAAAAAAATGGAAAAAAAAGAAAATATACAAAATCAACAAAATAATATAAATAAATTATACTAAAATAAGAATTACACTGTAGGTCTGTCCATACTGTCCGCACTGTCCTCCTGTTGTTCATTGATTTGCTCGAGCAGGCCCAGTAACATCTCCATTGTGAGACTTGTTAGTGTGTTTGGCATATTGAATATGTCATGGGTAGCTTGCCAGGCTTTGTCATGTGGATAAAATACTCTCAGTAGCTTGCCGGGCTCTCTGAGAGGGGTGAATGAATCAAACCTGACTCGGCCAGACCAGGTCACATGCAAGGCAAATGCCCCACCACTGTGCTATCACTCCAGCCCTTTTCCCAAACTAAGAATTATTTTTTAAAATTTCAGGAACAGAGTTTGATTGGGGCAATAATTCCTAGAAACCGGATATAGACTACTAAAATAAAGGAGAACTGGACACAAAACCAGAATTTTTTTTAGATGGATTTTCTTTAGGAGCTAATCCTCTTAATAACCTCTATACACTTCCCTCTTTCTTAACTAGATGCACCATCTAAGGGTGGGTGGTTTTTAGTGCCATTTATACAGATACACACATACTAACTAAAGCAGCAGTGTAAACTGTATTTCAATTACGTGATGAGTTCTAATTTTGTTTTTGATTAATATAAACTGAAAACACATATAAAATATCAGTTCTAGTATGAAAAATCCAGGTCTTCAAGAAATAAGAGTTAAAAAAAAAATGTGTGCCACTATGATATCTGAGTTTACTGGGAGAAGACTCAACATAGGTCTGGAAGTATTGAAGGAGAGGGGAAATGGGGTGGGGGGAGAAGAAAATGAAGCATAGCATTATGCTGTCAGAAAGCTCAAGACTCAGAAATTGCAGAGTGATCCACGGATTTGCTTCTGAATAGGAGCATTCTCATTCTCTTAAGTTAAAAGGAAAGCTCTAGTGCAGGTTGAGTAGGCTTTGAGAGGAATGAGAACCACTGAAGAAGGGCGCTTCTCTGAGAGACGTTCATCCAGAGGAGAGCAAGTGGGTTCTTGTCAGAGTGAAAAAAAAAGAAGGAAAAAAAATCCTGAGTGTCATTTCTGTAGCTGAATTGACCTGAAGGGGCTCAGAGGCCTGCAGGTACTTCCCCACAGCCAGTATTTCTCAGAAACAGAGTGGAAGTTTCCCAGACATAGCAGACAGGTTGGCATCCTTTTCTGGAGAGTGATTATGAGGGGAAGGAGTGAAGTAGGCCTCGCCAACATACCAAGGGCACTGTTGTACTCTTGGCAATCTGGGAGGGTCTGCCAACCATGCTTTCCACGGCTGCTTGGAGGGCACTCTGGAGTGCTCACCTCAAGAACTGGTGGGAACTCAGCTGCCATACGTAAAGGGAAGTCTCTGAGCTGAAGGACTGACTTGTAAATACACTACCTGGGGACAGTCAGTAGTGATTTTTTAGAGATTTTTTTACAAGGGAGCCAGGACTCTGAGGTTAACTTCTATATTTCTGTCTTCTCTCTCTCTCTCTCTCTCTCTCTCTCTCTCTCTCTCTCTCTCTCTCTCTCTCTCTCTCCCTCCCTCTACTTCCTGCCTTGACAGACACATTCTTCCTTGGACCCATTAGAGCCCAAACCACATTTGTATCTAGTGTAATCACATACTCAAGCTTACAACCAAAACCCAAAAGTCTTTAACTCACTTGCCCTCTTCCTTTACCTCAACTTCCCTATAACCTGTGAAGAAGAAAACAACATGCAAACAGAAATTCAACCAAAAACAGGGACTAGAGTCATACTAAGAAGTTGTTGCTTCAAATTATACTCTGTGATCCAATTTATGTTGTGTTATGACCCTTATGTTGAGCAACATGAATACAACAGCATACTATGAGGTGCTGAAATCCACTTTCTCCTTCCTAGAGAGGTCAGTTCTTAGCTTGATATAATTTTATAGATGAAAAATTCCAGAGGGATGTCACCTGTTTTGTGTTATGCACCAGGTCTAAGTAAAATGATTGAAAGTAACATAGGCCTAAACTTATCGTTTGACTTTTCAGGATTTTTCCTTTATAGGGTGTACTCAGTTAAATTGGGATAGATATCTCGCAGACCATACTGGTAGATCCATTTCTTCAATTCTGTCTCAAATATTATTTTATTACTTGAGTTTAGGATAGAAAATAGGACAAAACACTTGGTTGTAATAGCACCTAAGATAGAAAGTATAAATCCATTCTATAATCATGTTTCCAAGTTTCAGGGTACCTGAACTGTTTTTTCCCCTGGCTGCAGTCTCCTCTTCAGAATCATTTTCCCTTTTTACTACCCCAATATCAATCCAGTTATATTAATTTTGACTCTCAATTCACTAACTTTGCCTCATCACAAACAGAGTTTGGCACCAAGATAGAAAAGTGAATTATATTAGCAGACAAATATAAAAGATAAGAGACCTTGTGAGGGTAATATGGTGATATCTTCAGAGTCCTGACTTGCCTCCAAGCCATGACAGCTATTCCTCACAGCCCAGAAAAAAAAGATCACTCAAATGTTATGAAAGTAAAGTATTTCCCCAGATTCTTGGTCATTACCTGATCAGGCCACAAATGCGTTTCTTTTTTCAATACAGATGAATGTGGCTCAGGAGAAGAATCTCCAAAGATTTACTCTAAATTCCTTACTAGGTGATCATACTTTACTTTGTAATATTATATGAAATTGTTTATCCACATTTGTTTCATATGCTCCAAATCCCATGAACTGACCAAGGACTGAAAGTTTGATTAGATGTCAGTTCTCCCCACTCAGTTTTCTTCAGCATACAGTTTTGTGCTAAAATGTGTATCATGAAAGTGAGGAAAGGAGATGCATAAAGAATAATGCTGCACACACTTTTTTTAGTTATTGAATCATGGTGAGATACAGTTACAAACTTTTTATGATGGAGTTTCAGTCATAAAATGATCGAACACCCATCCTTCCACCAATGTATATTTTCCACCACTAATGTCCTAGTATCCCTCCTGATACCCTCACCCCACCCCCTGCCTCTATGGCAGTTTCCTTCTTACACTTTCTATACTTTTGGGCATTTATGGTTTGCAATGGGCTGGAGCGATAGCACAGTGGTAGGGCGTTTGCCTTGCACGCAGCCAACATGGCCGACCCGAGTTCGATTCCTCCGCCCCTCTCGGAGAACCTGGCAAGCTACTGAGAGTATCTCGCCCGCATGGCAGAGCCTGGCAAGCTTCCTGTGATGTATTCAATATGCCAAACACAGTTAAAACCAAGTCTCCAATGGAGACGTTACTGGACCCGCTCGAGCAAATCGATGAACAACGGGAGGACAGTGACATG